ATAAAACACTATATATAACTGGCTTTCAATAAATTGAATTGTATATTGTATATGCTAGCATCCATAATAGGATATCAATTTTAGAACTAGATTGCACCAAATACTGTTTAATTTTAGTGCTTTTCACAACTGAATTAATAACTCTGATGAAGGTTGCTGCATCTTACCAGGGGTGGAGCTAGACTTTTGKGCAAGGGGTGTCACGGGGGCACATACAAATAGTAGAAAAGCTAGATCCAAATGGTTTTAATTCAGCTGTTTTAAGAAAAATAAACTGAACGTTTGTATGTATATAGCTAATAAACATGCTGAATGCTAGTCACAACTTATTATTCAGCCATGTTTTAGACATAGCAAGCTGAAGATTATTGAAGAAGTTGGTGAAAGCAATCTTTACTAAATTCTGAATGCTATCGTCTATACCAGGGGTGCCCAAACATTTTCCCCGAGGGGGCCAAAATGAAAATCTATCCAGGGCAGCGGGCCAAATACAGTAATATAATACATGAAATACAAATACTTTTTAAAGTAAAGTCCCTTATTTTAACGATTAAGCTATGCAATGGCCCTCTTTTGTTTTAWTCTGTGCACTTGGAGAAAGTCTGCCATATGCTCAAGTAGGAAAGGCTCATTGGACATTTCATAAATTGATAAAATGAGTTTTTGTGGTCTTATAAAGTGTGCAAATCTACATGTGGGGTTAAATCTGATCTAAATATTTCTTGCCATTTCATGTTTCACGTTTAATCCTAAAAAATCAAAGTCAGCACAATGAATGAAAACTACCTTTTTATATATGTATACAGACCTTTTATATAGTCATTTGACCAATGGAAATACTGTGTATATAAATAGGATAACAGGTTACAACCTTGTAACTTTGGCAACTGTTGGTGGGCCAAATCAAATGGCTTGGCGGGCCAAATTTGGCCCGCGGGCCCCACTTTGGGCTCCTCTGGTCTATACATTGGCTTCCTGTCCATTTTAGAATAGATTTAAAAAATATTTGTTATTTTTTAAAGCTTTTAATGGCACTGCCCCACCATATTTATCTGAACTTTTAAGCTACACATGGGAGATCCCTGAAGTCATTAAATCAACTTTTATTGGACATCCCAATGGTCATTTAGTGGCATGACCCTGACTTTGGAACAAACTCCCTCTTGACCTACGCTCCACCTCTGACCTGGGCATCTTTAAGTTTAAGCTCAAGACATTTCTTTAGACAGGCCTTTTAATACTATGCAGCATATATTATTTTAATCTTGATTTTATGTTTTTTTTTTTGTTGTTGTGATGTGATTTTTACTGTAAAGTGCTTTGGTCACATTAGCTGGTTGTTGTTAAGCTCTGTTTAAATCAATAAATGAATGAATCAAAAATTCAAGATGACCACTACAGCCATCTTTTAAAATCTACAATTCAGCCATTTTAAAACATCCACAACTAAAGATTTACACCGTACAATATCAGAGAACAACATTTAACAAAATCTAAATGTAAATTCAAAATGCAAGCATGTCAATTATTCAGGGGTGGTACCTGGGGTGGCCAATCAAGTGCCAGCGGTGACACTTGCCACCCTAACCACCCATCTGGCTCCACCCCTGTGTGTTACACAGGAATACAAAATCCCTCAAACCTCAAACTTTTTCATTCCTAAATGTTGTGAAACTAAAAGAGTTTTTCATTATTTAGCATTAGCATTAGTGTCCAAGACTGGTGCGAACAAAGTAAAGTCTTTAAGGAGCAGCAGTTCCGGTCAAGAGATCAATTCACCTCTCCATAATTACATGCACCCAACTTAAGCTGCTGTAATAACATTGATTGATTACCAATAAGTTTATCATTCTGATTGGCTCTTGGGTAACTAATGGGACTCTTCTAAACAAATTTATTGAATCTTTACATCAATATGTTTGTCTTTGCAAACTGATGACAGCCTCTGGGTCTAGACTTTAGTGGCATACTTGAGACATAAAAATACAAGTGTTACAACTCCAGGTTCATAGTTCCTATGGCTTTTATGGTCTGCATTAAAAGTAAGACTAACCCCAGCTGCATTGTTTCCCATTTGTGTGTRTGTGTGTCCTAAATATGCAAACTGTATCTTTCTACTTGTAAAATATTTTTGATAATGCAAAAACATTGTAATGTTTAACTTGTGTACAAATTTTTAAAACGTATTTTATCAACTTGTCTTCTGAAGATGCGCTGTGTTGAAAGCTCAGTGGATCTGCATTCGTCTACTCCACCTAGACTGCATTGTCGAGCGCAGATCCAATGAGATACTTGCTGTTTCATCAACATTTAATTTAAAAACTGGACGTTTGAGGTCAAACAAATGTTCATAGGTAATTTAAATAAATTAAAAGTTTAAAAAGACATTGAAATTTCTCTTTTTTGTGTCAAAAAATAACAAACCGTGAGACTAAAGTATTGAACCAAAACGAATTGTGAATTTTCTGTATCGCTGCACCCCTAATATATATATATG